CATGATATAGATATATTACAAATATATATTAGCAATAATATAGATATGTAAGTATATTACAGAAATGGGTATATTATGGTATGTTATAATGTACATGGTATGAGGGTATGTTATGAATATGCTACAACTATAAGTATGTACAGGCTGTAGTGAGTACAGGCTATGAACAGGATATGAATAAAAAAACTACACAGAAATCTGAGATATACAGTTATACAGAAATGTGAACTATGCAAGTTATAAACAGTTGTAGAATTAAAAATTATCGTATGTACAGAATGATTATTTACACAGAATTATACAGTAGTGCAGTTAAGACAAGTGAGGTATGTGGATAGTTTCTACAGAGGCTATATAAAGTGCTAGTGGTTGTGAGTGGTGGCTCAGTCCATGTTATTATTGTGTGTATGAGGGTACAGTTGTCCATTGTGTGTATGTGTAGGTCGTTGTGGGTATGTGTATGTGGATAGTCATCGCTTCATAACATGTACTATTAGGTACATAAGCATCACCTCTGAGGCTAAAATTATCAGTGCAAGTCTGAAGCTCATGAGGTTTTAGAAACTCGAAAAGGAATGAGAATACAAAGAAAACTTAGACATAGATGAAAAAATGTGTTGGCTTCTAAAACAGAGAATGGGATACAGAGGGACCTTCAAATGCTTGTCTTCAAGTTGGAGCATCAAATGGCTATTTTTTTCTGTAATTTGTAACATTTCTTTCTGTCATTGCCTTTCTCCACACATTTTCTTTCTTTCTTGTTTTCTTATGAAGCAGAAAGTTGAAAGAGCCCTATAAACCGGCCTGTCTTCTTTAAACCGTCACAACTTCCAATAGGCTTCCAATGTCTTCAAATCGCGGACTCAACAAGGCTCCGAGGGGCTCTTAATAATACAATTGTGTGTTATAATCCCCTGTAATGTTCAGTATTTCTCTCAATTCGTGATAAATGTTCTTAGCAAAAGAAACTTTTAAAGCGAACAGCTCCGGTATGAAGCCTGGCTGTCACCAGCCTCCACCTTCATTAGTGTGTTTGCTGCAGTCACAATATCTTCATTTTATTCCAAACTGACTGCCAGCAGGTGGATGTTTTCACTTTGAATGTGTAAAAGAACATGTGGCTCAGCTGGAAAAGTGATTTTGGTGCAGCTTTACTTGATTTGAAGTCCTTTTATGGGGTAAAAGAAGGGGCGAAGCCGCCAAGCTCCGCTGTGACTCGCCGAGGTTTCGGAGTTTCAGGGAAAAACTGCAATAAGCACCGGGGCTCAGCATGGGCTAAATTTGAAGACACTCGTGTCCGCTTGTCAGCTGCTTTACTGTCAATCCGCATCGATGCTTCTTGAGCTACTTTTTAACGTGTTTATCTGGAAGAGAAAACACAGAACACGTTCACTCAGGCTGCAAGCGAGAGCGCCGCGCTGGATTGAGTCTCCACGGTTCTCATGTTGCATTGAAAAGGCGACTCCTGCTGCGAGTTTCTCATCTCGTCTCTCGGACTCCAGTTGGATCGCGAAAGCAGCAAAGAAAACACAAGAAGGAAAAATGGCAGAAGTAGCACCAGCGCCAGCCGCCGCTCCCGCTAAACCAGCGAAGAAAAAGGCTTCCAAGCCCAAGAAGACCGGCCCTAGCGTCAGCGACCAAATCCTTAAAGTAGTGACCGCTTCCAAAGAAAGGAAAGGGGTGTCACTAGCTGCCCTGAAGAAGGCTCTGGCTGCCGGAGGATATGATGTGGAGAAGAACAACGCCCGCGTTAAGATCGCCATCAAAAGCCTTGTTTCTAAGGGCACTCTGGTTCAGACTAAGGGCACCGGCGCTTCTGGTTCTTTTAAGCTAGGCAAGAAAACCGCAGAGACCAAGCCCAAGAAGCCAGCGAAGAAAGCTGCTCCTAAAGCCAAGAAGCCCGCCGCTGCCAAAAAACCTGCGGCAGCGAAGAAGGCTAAGGCAGCAAAGAAGCCCGCAGCCGCGAAAAAGTCTCCGAAGAAGGCTAAGAAACCAGCTGCTGCCAAGAAGCCCGCTAAGAAAGCCGCGAAGAGCCCTAAGAAGGTCGCCAAAAGCCCGAAGAAGGTGGTCAAGAAGGCGCCCGCAGCCAAGAAATCCCCGGCAAAGAAGGCTGCAAAGCCTAAAGCGAAAAAGACCGCAGCCAAGAAGAAGTAAGCTGTCATCGCTGTTACGTTTGAACTCAAAGGCTCTTTTAAGAGCCACCACAATCCTACAAGAGCCTGTTCCTAAAGCCATCAGTCATACAAATTTATTGCAAGGCATGTATAGCAGACCGTGCCTAAAGATGATGGAGCCTAGAGAGGAATCAAATCTCTTCACATCTGCTATTATATATTAATTAACGAGTTTAATTATTACTTGCGCACACCTGCTAGGGTCCTAGTTAAGATTATTTAGCACATCTGGTTTTTAATGCCAACTTTCAAAAATGCAGAAACTGCATGTAAAACTTGCATCATAAAAGGAGCTTCTAGAAATTTAAGCATCTACAAAAGATTACTAACACTAACATTTTTACTTAAGTGCTTACACACAAATTTTGCTATGTGTTTATGCATGCGTGCTGTAAAGTCATTAAAAATCTCCATGGCATACTAGACTCCAGGAAAGTGGCCTCTTGGCTCTGCCCAATTAAAAACTGCTGTCAAGGGCTTTCTATTACGTCCGCACATCAGACAGAGAGTGGTGAGACCTTTATTTGACTTGTTATTGAAACAACTGAGCAAGCTGAAAAGAGGTGTGCTGTGATGCGTAACATGGAATCACGTCTTTATTCTACAGAGAGTAAAGAGTAATATGAGTTAAAGGCAGTTAAGTATAATGAACGTAAATTAGAAAATATTAGCTACAGGTGTAATGAATGTTTGATGGTGGGCACCAAAGTGAACTAAATAAATACATCCTTAAATAATTAAATGGGTCAAAATATAAATATATAATGAATTAAAATAGGAAATCAATACATTTAATTATTGTGTGTGCTGGGGACATAAGATAAATTTTCATTAAACAGAATGTCCATATAGTGATACATTTATTTTCTTTAGTTTTGCACCCATAGCCTTCCATACAGAACCAGTGTCCAGGCTTGGTTCCTCTGAACAGAGTCCCATGTTCATTGACTTCCTGAGCTACATTGAGTACATCACTGCTTCAGTCCTATAAGGAATTTAAACATTGGCTTGGTTTGTGCTATATTTGGGTGATTTTGTGTGCGAGACAGTGTCTAACATAATAACAGACAGGGAGCAGAAGAAGCAGAATGTCCTCTACGTTCTGCTTTTTTATAAATAAAATCCAGTTCATAAGCAATTCTACCCCCAGGTCTAAATAATTCGATGTTCAAACCACCTGATCAATGTCGCAGAGAATTGT